TGAATTACCTGACAACTTTTTCAGCACAGTAACTGTGCTCTGAGTTCATCAGCTAACAAACTGCACAATACAAAAATCCACCTCCTGCTGTACATTCCCTGTGTAGCAAATGCCATCAGAGTGATTCCCTTTGGCACGCTGACAGTGAGAGAGCTCATCTCTCCATTCCCAGTGAAGGAAAAGCCAGAAAGCACAGCAGGTGTGCTGTGATCCTGGCTCAGCAACAGGTGCAGGAGTGGATCCCACCCCAAAGTCTCTGTAAGTCAGCAGAGGTCTCAAATATTAGGGACATGCCAAAAAAGGGCACACCATAAGGAATAGGTTGGACTCGATGATCTCAGAGGTCTTTTCCAACTTAATTGATTCTGTGATTCTGTAAACCAAGCTTTCTTGGTAAGAAAATTGAGCTGCTGCTGCGGGGCACTGGAGCCTGAGCCCCCCTAAGCCTTGTCTCTCTCCCCTGCAGAGCGACCACATCATCTCCGAGCACCAGCACCTCCCACAGCCGTCTTGCTTGGAAGTGGATCCCTCTTACAAAGCCCTGAGGGTGAAGGCCTGTGACTCCACAAACCCTTATCAGAAGTGGCAGTTTGGCAATTACCACGTGGACTGAAGGGAGCCCAGTTGCACCAGGACTGCTGTGGTTCCAGCTGTGAGCTCAGCGAGGGCACACAGCTACCAAAGGGGAGGTGCCTTTCCGGTGACAGTGGAAATCCGTGGTTTAATGCCAGCGTATGGAGGGATCAGAACACCAAGAGCAGCACCTCGGGTTTGACAGTGCCTGAACAGATCGGCCCAGTGCTCCCTCACTGTGGGAGACTTTGGTAAAAACTCACTTTCTGTATTATTAAATGGAAATATTTTTTTGAAGTCCCCATCCTACCGTGAGCAAACATCCCTCAGTTCCCCCGACAGCAGCATAAGCTGCAGAAATACTTCCAGGTAAGTCCGTAAGCAGCAAAGTGGGCTGCTTATTCCTCCCCAGGAAATGGAAGTTCATTGACCAGCACATCAAAGGAATCTGTCGTGGTGCCCACGCTGGGTCCAGCCACAGGCTCCCACCCTGGGGGACCCGCTGGCTGACAGATGAGGACCAGAGCTCTGTGAGGAATCAGTGGGGTATCCATAAAGCCACTTGTAATAGTGGGAGGTGAAGGTTGATGGGGTTACCCAGGGGCTGTGGCAGAAGCTTGGAGCAGGCCCTGCCTGTGCCATGGGGACAGTGAGGGCACACGTGCCTGGCTCTTCTTGGCAGAGGGAGGAGCTGCTGGAGGGGGGATCCAAAGGTTTATCCTGCTTCTTGCCAGTGGCACACAGCAGTGGCCAGCCAGGGAGCTCCTCACTCCAGGCAGCCAGGCTGTCCCACCCTGGGGCTGCCAGCCCCACAGTCATGTCCCCAAGCCCCTGTGCCTCTTTGGGGGCTCCCCACGAGCACTGCCACTTCCCTCAGCCCAAGCTGCCTGGCATGGCCAGGACCTGCACACCAAACTGCCTCTGAACCCACTGTCACAGGCAGGTTTTGTCCTTACTGTGAAACTCTTGATCTCCAAAAGCCATCACCAGTCATTGATGGGACAGATTTGAGGGGAGAATAAATTCTGTGTGCCAGGGCAGTGAGATCCAGGGTATGTAACACCTGGGCATCCCAGGCAGGGTTTCTCCCCCTGTTCCCATTGGGAATTCCTGCTGTGGGGTCATGGGGGGAGGCAGCACTTCTCTTCCTGCCCCCCTGCCCTGTGCTGAGATGAGGGGCTGCTCCAGCACAAGGCCTCGGGGTACCCAGGGCTGAGCATCACTCTGGCTGCTCACAGCATTGTGACCATTGCCTCTGCTGTCCCACCTCACACACCCCCATACCTCTCCTTTGGTTCTTCAGAAGGCCATGGCATATTGTTGCCTCTGATGTGGTGGATCAGTGCTGACAGCATCTGACAGGCTCAGTCTGCCAAAATATTGACTGGCCCAACAGATTTTCCCAGTTGACTCCTATTGCAACTGTCTTCCCGATTTTCTCTCCCTCCTTCAGCACAGCTAGCCCGCAGTTACTATCAGAAAAATGACACAGACGATGTTTGGGCAGTCAGCTCGTATCAGGAGCATGAATTTCATCAGATTCTGTTTGCTGACATTCAATCACTTGTCACTGAGCAGGCACCAGGCAGTCGTATGTCACGGTCACATCCCATCGCCAGCCCTGTCACTCGCACGCCGGGGCCCCGCTCGTGTAAATGCTCACTTCCATGTTGGATCTGTGCTCCAGGACTGGAGGGTGCCTCGGGGCTGCTGGCAGTGAGCTGGGGCCGTGCTGTTGCTCAGCACTGGGAATGTTCCGATGGCACCAGTCAGCCCAGTCTTCCAGAAACAAGAGCATTTTTCCGGCAGGCTCGGCAGCCTGGCGAGGGGCGTCGGTCCTGCTGCTCCCCACGAGCTGCTCCCGCCATCCCCATGGACACACCGGGGTGTGCATCGCTCCTCGGGGCACTCAGAGCCTGGGCTGTGTGAGCAGGGAGGTCAGGGAGGAAGGCACCACGGCTGGAGAACCACTGCTTGGGGTGAGGAGAGCAAATGCCTCTGGAGCTGTGGTGGGGAGGGACACGCACGTGGTGCTGTGCTTCCATCCCTGAGTGCCCTGAGTCAAAGTGATCACAGTGGGAGGCCCCATTTGGTATACTCAGAAAAAAAAAGGTTTAAAAAGAGGGAATAAATGATAACAGGTGAAGCTGCTTCCTCTGAGTGCAGTGAGTTAACTGACCGACATGGACCCTCTCTGGGGACTCCTGCCCGAGTTACTGCCAGGCTGAACCACAAAGCCTCACCCCAGAAAGAACCCTCAAAGCACCAATTCCCCTGATTTTTGGCCGTGGTGGATCCCAGGGCAGGGCAGGGCAGGGCAGTAGTCTGGCTGGCTGCTGGACCCACAGCTGCTGCAGCTTGTGGCACCTGACATCAACACCCTCCATAAGGCTCCAGCTCTCACCTGCCGTCAGCCCACACTTGAAACAGTGGAAACACAGAGAAAGGATTTTCAGGCTGACCTGGGGCTGTGACTGCCATGCCCCAATCAGCCTGAAGGTGCCTCTGCTCCAAGGGACAAGTTTCCAGATCTGCAGGTGTCCCTTCACCTCACATGCCATACAGGCACCTCCCTGCCTGGCTGCTCCATGCACCCCATCCGACCCACTGACCACGGTGATGGCCAGAGGGCAAGCAGCCCACCTCTGCCTCTTCATTACCTGTGAACCCCTTGCTGTCTACCCCACACCCACCCACCCAGAGGGTCTGGCAAGGGGGCTGCTTGCGGGAAAGGCCCTCGGGCCCCTAGAGCATCCCAGCACTTTTAATTTTATTTCTCCAGTTACTCAGGAAAGCAGGAGAGGGCGTTGCAGCTCTCTGCTGAGCAAGTGCTGCTTTGCAAGGAAAGTAAAAAGTGAGTCCCTAGGTCACTGAAAGTCTCAGGGAGCCTTTCCCACTGAAAGGTCTGGGAATGATCATAAAGAATGATAGATTCACAGCATGGTTTGGGCTGAGAGCTCATCCTGTTTCATCCCCTGCCATGGGCAGGGACATCTTCCACTAGACCAGGTTGCTCCCAGCCCTGTCCAGCCTGGCCCTGGTTGGAATTACCATGACCACGTCTTTAAGAGGGATGTGTCACCCCAGAGCAGCCCAGGGCAGCTGTCAGTGGGAACAGACCCACAGTATAAGTTGGTACAAGCAAAGCTCAGAACTTCCCCAGGCCAAGGAGCAAATAAACAAGTGTGAATGGCACAATGAGGGCTGTGTCTGCTGGCACAATGCAGAATTGCCATGTATTATTTTCAAGTTGCCAATAAATAATTGCCTTTATGTAGAACAAGAAGAATCAAAATGATATTCAGTGCTGCTGGAGATGTAAAACTAATCCTTAAAAAGGCACTTATGGCTGCAGGAGGCCTCTGTATAACTCTGTCCTTACCTCCTCTCCCTTGCCAGCTGTTCTCAGCTTTCCCAGATGCTTTCCGGGATGACAATTGCAAAGCTAAGTCCCAACTCCAGACAAATCTGACTATAAAACAGTAAAAAAAAAAAGATTGCAACAACTGTATGGTGGTTACACAAAGGTCTTTCAAAATGGAGGAGGGTTGTGTTCAGATGAGACAAAAATTATTGTTAAAACTTGCCTGGCTTTCACAAAACAGTCTTTAATTTTGCATCTAAACTTAGTCAAGAAGAGACATAAGCGAGTCTGACCTGGTGGCACTGGGAAAATAGAGGTTCCTGGTAGTGGCCAGGTTTGCCAGAGGCACACCAAGGCACACACAGGGATGTGCTGGGTGAGCTGCTGCCCTCGGGGCTGGTCCAGACCCCAGCTCTGTGCTGGAGATGGCACTGGTCACCAGTACAGCCCCCCTGCCCCAGGCTGCCCCTGGGAGGGTGAGGGTCCTCAGCCAGGGCTGGGGGTGCCACAGTGAGGAGGGCTGAGGTGGAAGAGGACCCCAGTGTGTCTGACTGCACTGCAGAGTCACTGTCCCCCCAGGACAGGCTGGACAGCAGCTGGTGAGCCTGGCAGTGCCCACGGTGTGGACAGGTAGGCAACACTACATAATGCTGACACCTCTGACCCCGGGTGTGCCAGACCTACCTGGTGCTGACAGTCACACCATGGGGCAGCAGGGAGGGCTCAGGGTCCTCAGTGCCTTCTCATCTTCATTCCCACACCGGCATCTGCCCGGGATGCCAGTCCATCCCTGCAGCACGAGATGGGCACGGACAGTGGCTGTCGGGGCACTGTCAGGCACCAGCACGGATGCACAGCAGAATGGGGGGATTGCCAAGAGTTGTCTCTGACTGTTCCCCAGCCCTGGCCAGTGCCACCCACTGCCAGCTCATTAGGGCAAGCTGATGGCACAGCACACGTGCGTGTCAGCAGCCAGAGGAGCCCCGGCCAGTTTGGGCCGTCCTGTGGTCTGAACACGGTTACAAAGTTGAAGAGAAAATAAGAGGATAACCTTAAAATCAAATGGGTTTGTATTTAGCAAACTGATTATTTATTTTCCTGCACTATGGACACCTCTGCCCCTGTCAAAGCCAAGATGTTAAATTTTCACAGTGTATTATAAATCACGTACAAAAAGGAGAAAAGCAGTGACCTCATGTTGTGTGAAGAGACATGTCTTGGGGGAACAGAATAAACCCAAACCCGGAGAGAAGGCTCGGTGCATTGGGCAATTCCCCCTCAGTTCATAAGTGCATCATGGATTCAAACTCATCGATCCGCTGTTTGGTGTTTCCTTTCCGGATCCTCCGGTAGGAGATTGTGTTGTATCTGGAATAGCTGTGTCTGGAGATGTCATTCTTTTTGCCCAGGCTGGGCTGCTCCCCGGGTTTCTCCAGCGGGGAGTTGCAGCCGGGGCTGGCCGGGGCAGACGGCTCCTTGCAGCCGTCCCGCTGCTGCAGGCGGGGCGCCTCGCTGTCCTCCTTCTTGATTTCGATCACCTGAACCTCGTCCTCCTCGGTGTCCTCCTCCTCCGCATCCTCCACATCCTCCTCGGCCACGTCCCCTCTGGGATCAGCCCTGGCTGCCAGGCTCTCCTCTGCCTCCCCGCTGGGACTGGCTGTTGGCACCGGTGGCTCCCCCGTGCCCACCGGCAGCCCCTCTGTGCCGCCCGGCCCTGCGTGACACGGAGGGTGCAGGTGAGGAGGGGGCGGCACCCCACGGGGAACCCCTGCGGGTTCCGGGGGTGACCCCAAAGCCCCCACCCCCCAGAGGGTGAGGGGAGCCCTGCACCGCCAGGCTGGACCCCTTTCTTAATGCCTCTCTCTGTTCTACCCCCATTCCCACCGAGGGGAGGGAAAGGGAAAGGAAAGGAGAAGGGGAAGAGGAAGGAAAGGAGAAGGGGAGGGGAAGGGAAAGGAAAGGAGAAGGGGAAGGGGAAGGAAAGGAGAAGGGGAAGGGAAAGGGAAAGGAGAAGGGAAAGGAAAGGAGAAGGGAAAGGGAAAGGGAAAGGAAAGGAGAAGGGAAAGGAAAGGAGAAGGGAAAGGAAAGGAGAAGGGAAAGGGAAAGTGAAGGAGAAGGGAAAGGGAAAGGAAAGGAGAAGGGAAAGGGAAAGGGAAGGAGAAGGGAAAGGGAAAGGGAAGGAGAAGGGGAAGGGAAAGTGAAAGGAGAAGGGAAAGGAAAGGAGAAGGGAAAGGGAAGGAGAAGGAGAAGGGAAAGGGAAGGAGAAGGAGAAGGGAAAGGGAAAGGAAAGGAGAAGGGAAAGGGAAAGGAGAAGGGAAGGGGAAGGGGAAGGCAGGGGTAAGGGAGCCATTCTGCACGCAGTGCCCAGCTGTGCCCCCTGGGACGTGTCCCTCCCTCAGCGGTGGCCGCCCCGGCTGCCACGGCCATCTCCCATTTGTCCTGTTTGGCACGTCTCTGTCGGTAATGATGCTTTAGTGTGGCAACAAATGGTCTATTCAACGTTTTGCCTGTGGGGTCCAGAGTATTAATTAGACTAAATTGGTTGGGTACTAAAAAGCTGCCTGCAATTTCAAGATAAAGTGCTTGTGGTTGAGGGGCGGGGCTGGGGGGAGCCTTGCAAGATCCTTTAATAGGTTTTATTGTGCGCTCCTAAAGCAGCACAGCTGGAATAGGGATGTCAACTCTAAGTGGGAAAGCCTCCACCATGATTCACCTCCTCACAGCCTAGGCGGTTGCTACGAAATATTGATTTGCCCATGACAAATATTCAGATATTTTTCCTTTTCTTAATGAAAGCAGTTTCCGTTTGCAGGGCACAGCCTGTTCCTCTTTTAGAGCCACCTTCAAAGCTCAGGGGAGAGCATCTCTAGCAGCCCCTGGCCCTGTGCCCTTGTCCCACCACTGCCAAAGCCAAAAAGACAGGCAGGAGCCCATTGGTGGGAGACACAGAAAGGAATAATGCCTGGAGCCCCCCTTGGAGAAATGTGGCTTTCCTCCTTTAGTAAGACTCCATAAAACACTCCTCCTCTAGTAACACTCCATAGAATACTGCTCCTTTTGGAGAAGTGGCTGCAGTTTGCATTGTGTAATTAAATATGTTAATCTATGTGTATAGTCAGTACATTTTAACTCGGGACCGGGGCGGGCAGTGACCCCCCCACAGCCCCGCTCACCCAGGACACAGCTGAGGCTCCGGCCTGGGCTCCCACGGATTTCTACCATTTTCACCCAGAAATAAGCAGAGTGAAACTGAGGAGCAAGTGTTTAGCAGAGCGATTTTCTGCAGATAACCCCATGGTTCTCTGAAATGGGATTCAACACTCGGTAAATCAGGCAGGAAAAGAGTTTGGGTTTTGAGGCCTCCAGCAGCCTCCCAAGGTTCTCCCCTGGGCATGAAGCAGAAGATGGAGCACCTCCCAACCTTACGAAGCTTTTGGGGATCTCCTGGTCAAAGACCCCATATTGCTTTGATACCCCATGGTCATGGAGATAGGCAAAACCTCAGGAAGGAAGATACCAGCCGTGGTTTCTAAGGTGCAGCAACTCAGCACATTAGAAATGAGTCACTGCTCTCTGGAATAGAAGGGTCTGACCCAATAAAAAAAAATTAATAACCACCTGCATCCACTGACTTTGAAGGCCACTCAGTGCTACGTGTCAGGGAAACCCCACATCAGACAGTGTTTTGCATTACCTTCCCCTGATCCCTGGCCGTCGCTCCCTGTGTCCTGGATAGCCGCTGGTCCCTGCTGTAGCGTCCCATCCTTCTCCTCTGGCTTTTCTTTGGGAAACACAAAGCAGAAGACATGGGCTCATGGAGCAGTCAGGTTTTAATGGCTGCAGATTGTCAGATTTTCAGAGCAGATTTAGAAATTGTTCGTTCCTTTAGTTACAAACTCGTCCCTCAAATGTGTCCCCGGAAATACTCCGAGTTGCTGTTACAGCTACCGTAGGTTAGGAATTTTGACTCACATGCACAGCATGTCCCGTTATTCATCAGGCTATAGAAAAAAACAGAGCTTTTCTCTCCCAACTCTCAAGAGCCAAGCAGCCCCATACGGTACCTTGGCATGGCTTCTCTCCAGCAGAATCCCCCGGAGAGATGTCCTCTGCCAATGAATTTCCGTTTTCCTCCAGAGCTTCCTTTGCAGGTGGAGCATCAGAGCTGGTTTCCACGTTTGCACACGGGACCGTCCCAGCAGATTTTGGTGTTTGGTCGATCCCGCCGATGCCCTGGAGCGGTCCGTCCCCCGGGGGAACGCTCCCGTTGCACGCCGGCATGGTGGCTGCTGCGGGCGCTTCTTCTGTCATGCTGAGGGCCGTGTCCTGCCCTGCCGTGCCGTGCCCACCGACTGGGGCTCAGCACTCCGGGGCCCCGCTGCTGCGCCCCGGGGTGGGGAGTGCTCTCCTCACCCCTGCGCCCCGGGGGTCTGCTCCCCTGCTCCGATGGTCCAGGCGCGTCTCCTGTGCCGGCTCCGCGGCCGCACCATCCGCTGTGCCCGGGGCTTGCCAGCCCAATCAGCACCTCCCTTGTCGCTGAGGCTCTGCCCGTTGCATAATTAAACGCACCATTATAATTTACATAAACAAACAATCTGAAGCAAGGAAGCTTTTGTGCTGGCCCGGAGAGCGGGGCTGTGGGCATGTCAGCCCCGCGGGAATGAACAGGAATTTGTGCTCCGGGCACAATGGCCCTTTGTGTCCCTGCTGGTCACAGGGACGGCCATTGTTCCGACCCCTAATCCCCAGAGGGTGACCACCTTCCCCAGCGCCCTGCCACCTAACCCGCTTAACATTCCCCGTGGGGTTTGTGCCGCTGAACCTCGCCCTGCTGCGGGCACACAATGGCAGCATTTTGCCCTGGGGGGGCACAACCCGGCCGGGCGGGCACATGCCCCGCACACGGCGCGATGCCACGCTCTGCCCACACCCACCCACGTGCCGTGGACAGGCAGCACTGCCCAGAGAGGCTTTGGCTGCCCCTGGATCCCTGGAAGTGTCCAAGGCCAGGTTGGACGGGGCTTGGAGCAACCTGGGCTAGTGAAAGGTGTCCCTGCCCATGGCAGGGGGTGGGACTGGATGGGCTTTAAGGCCCTTCCCAGCCCAAACCATTCCATGGCTCTATCAGTGACCATCACTTGGACCTAAGTCTAGTAGGAGTGAGGAGAGCATTTTGCAGAAGGAAGCAGGAGGATCACCCGAGCAGCACAAGGGCATTTCTGGCCACAGTTGAACTTGTCTCAACCCTCGTGCCCAAAGCCAGGTTTATGTAAGAGCGTAATCTCCTGCTGTGAATGACATTCTGTGTTTGTACAATGCAACGTTTCTGATATCTTTGGGCTTTAGGGCTTGGAAATCCTCTTGCCAAGTTCAGCCCTTGATTAGAAATGGACCTGAAGTCTTTCCACTGGTTTTGTTCATCTGTGAGTTTGTGTCTTTAAATCAACAACTTTTCATTATTGTTTTTAAATGAGTTTGGTGTAACTGATTTATAAAATCCATCCTTTGCTGGCAAAATTTGTCCAAGAAAAATGGATGATGAGGTTTGAAAGTGAGTTGACAACATGGGGCGGTTGGTGCCCTCAGGAGGAGAGGTTGGGTACCCAGCAAGGTCTGGTGGCTGGAGAGGAGAAGGTTCCTTTCTGTCATCATTGAATCACAGAATCATTTGAGTTGGAAAAGCCCTCTGAGATCATTGAGTCCAACCATTCCCCCAGCACTGCCCAGGCCACCACTGACCCATGTCCCCAAGTGCCACATCCACAGGGCTTTTAAATCCCTCCAGGGACAGGGACTCCACCACTGCCCTGGGCAGCTGTGCCAGGGTTGGACAACTTTTACCATTAAGGAATTTTCCCTGATATCCAACCTGAACCTCCCCTGGTGCAACCTGAAACTGTGTCCCCTCATCCTGTGATTTGTTCCCTGGGACCAGAGCCCAACCTCCACCTGGTTCCACTCTTCTGTCAGGGAGTTATAAAGATCTTTTATATATATATATATATAATATATAGGGATATCAATTTTTTTTTACCAAGCTATTTCCATATCCCTGACTTCTTGATTGCAGAAAGATACCGAAAGAATTTTGGGTATTTCCTGGTGCCATCTGTTGGTTACACACCAGCCCTGGAGGATTCACCTTTCCCAGACAAGCGCCCCATGCTCGAGGCACCATTTGCATCAGTGACATAAACCATCTTCCCTGTGACCTGTGCCACAAGAAGTTTCTGTTCCAGCTGTCCTTTGCCAAAATCTCAGACACAGCACCTGAGTATCCAGAGGCATCTGGGCACAGCAGGGATCTGATTGTCAGTGAGGAAAACCATGAGAGCCCATTCCAGAAAGTGGAAGGGGCTGCCATGGCACAGTGTTGGCAGAGGGCCCATGGCAGAGGGGGTTCATCAAGAGATCTTAAAGACCCCTTCCAACCCAAGCCATTCTAGGATTCTGTGGTTGTTGGCAGGGTGTTGGTAGAGCTCTGTAGGCTCCTCCGTGATCAAGTCTCTGCTCCCCAGTTCCTGCTCCAGCCACAGGTTTCCAGGAGCAGCTGATGCACACACTGGGCAGCCCAGGGGAGCACATGGACTGCACAGGCTCTGGAGCAGCTCTAGAGCAGAAGCCACACACCCAGGGTCACCATGGGAGGTGCCACCTGACAGCCAGGGCAGGATGACAGGCATGGTGGCATTGGAGCCAAACATTCCCACTCCTGCACATAACCAGGAGGGATTAAGGGATTACATTTTGCTTAAACACCCAGAGGAACACTCCCGTGGATCATGTCAACAAGCCACATCCAAGCATTCAGACTACATGATCTCAGAGATCCTTTCCAACCTAAATGATACTGTAACTGTGCTTTTCATTCTGTCGTACCTTCTATGTATGAAAAAACCTTGGACTTTCTCTTCAACAGAAAATTTCAGGATTTTAACTTTTCCCCCAGGAAACAGCAGCTGCAGGTTCTTCCCACCACAGGCAGCTGTTTGTAAACAGCTGGGCAAAGCCACCTCTCAGGAGCAGGGAAACATTCCTTTTACACAAACTCAGTGGGGTGGATTTCTGCCTCTTGAAGCCTTTAAAGAAGAACAAGCTTTTACTCTTGCCTGTCTGGTGTGGCACAGCAGAGCAGTGAGAGCCATTCTGAGCCAGGAGCACAGCAACACATTCCTGGATCTGTCTGTGGATAAGGTGTGACTCCCCTTTGCCTTGCAGCACTGGGGCAAACTCAGCTGCCTGCGGTGACCTGCTCAGAGCTGCGAGAGCTGGGCACAACCAGCTGCTGCCACACGGGAGCACAGCCCAGCAGCCAACGGGGAAAGGAAGAGCCCGGGGGGGCTGCAGCAACCAGAGGAGCAGAATGGCACGTGGGAGGTGGGATCCACTGTCCCTGATCACAGAGCAGGATGGCATGTGGGAGGTGGGATCCACTGTCCCTGATCACAGAGCAGGATGGCACGTGGGAGGTGGGATCCACTGTCCCTGATCACAGACCAGGACGGCACACAGGGGGTAGGGACCCAGTGGGAGGGTCTAGGCACTAGGCAAGACCCAGATGAGCAGGTAAGCACCCTTACAAGATCAATCTCTGTAGCATTCAGCAATTAATTCAAATTTAAAAAGCAATAGCACTGTTCAGAGCAGACGCAGTTCTCACTGAAGTAAACTCACATTACCCACTTTGCCCACAGGGCATAAGAGAAGAAAAGGCAATCCCTTCGCTGTTGGGAATAAGAAGAGAAAAGGTTTCTCTTGGCTGTTGAGTCTCCAACACTCCCATGATCAGTGAGAACACCTCCACTGCTGGAAGTCCAGAGCACCTGGAGCCCCAACCCCAAACCCTGGCATCACCACGTCACGCTGCCTGTACACCCCCCCTCCTCCTGCCCCACCCCCAGCAGGCAGAGCAGGATCCTCCTGGAGTCCCCTCTGCAAGGAGAAATGCTTTTTACAGAGCTGTTGCAGTTGCTTTGCTCTCTGAGCAGTCAGGTTGGTCTGTGAGCTCCTTCCTGCCCCGCAGTCTGGGGCCCTGCAGAGCTCAGTGCCCACACAGGGGCCTGTCACCCACATCCTGTTTGTGACCGTGGCTGTGTCACACTGTCATCTTGCAGCACCCAAAGCGTGCTCTCACCACTGCTGGGAGGGCATCACTTGTTTGGTCTTTCTTGAGAGACTTTCCACACTCACAGCAAGCCCGAGTCTCCCAAGGTGTGGCAAATTAACCTTCCAAATCGAAGGAATCACAACTTCAGACTGTAAAGCTTCAACAATATAAGGTCCCTTTCTCAGTGCTGCTGCTGTTCATTCCCTTTGGGCAGTGTACCTACCCTCACCAGATGTTCTGGTTTTTCTCTCCCAGTTGCTTTCAGACACCCCTACATCTGCCTTTAAGTCAATATTTTGGCCAAATAGAATCAATCTCTCCTTTTTTTCCTCTCCTTTTAGCTGGTGCCACTGGCAACAAAAAGTAAAATTTTCTTGAGACAGCAAATCACAGGTGAAAAACTTGATGCCTAGTGATGAGCTCCAGAGCCCACCTGAAATGCCCCAGCCTGGGCTGGGGACGGGCATCAGCTCCATGTGGGTGTTGGAGCAGAACCCCACTCTGGGCCCAGGGGCTGGGGTGGATTCACACCAGGGGAGCTCCCAGACTGAACTGCAGGCGCTCAGTCTAACAAAAGGGACAGGACATCATCCCACATGTACAGACTGCATGAGCTGCCCTCCTGATTGTCCTCTGGCTCCCTCTGACTGACCTCCAAATCCCCTGGCTGCCCTCCAGGTCCTCTGACTGACCTCCAAGTCCCTTGAGTGCCCTCCAGCTCTCCCAGAGACCTGCTGTATTTCCAGCTACTTACTCATTTCCAGAGGCCAGTTCTGGCTCTGCTGGCTTAGCAGCGTTCATGCCTTAGAGGAGTGTTGGGAACAGGTTGTTTCTGCTTGGAGCCCACCTCAGAGGGAAGCTATTGGATTTATCCTGCTGTTCCTGACAAGCCCAGGAAGCCCTGGCACAGCAGTACCCAGGGTACAGCCACACAGGCTGCCCGGGCAACAGGCGAGTGAGTCACACAAGGTCTTTGAATCATATCAAAATGCTTCCAGTTGTATTTGAAAAACATCATTAGGCTGCTTGGGCTGAACAAACAGCCTGTTTCTGTACACTGAGAGGGAGGGAAAATTTCCCTTTTCCCCCACATCTGTGCCCATAGTTATTGAATTGCTTCCCACACACTCTCACACCATCCTTACTGCCTGAGGCCTCTGAGCCTGGAGAAATGCGGGCAGGTAATGATCCTCCTGCTGTGAGCAGTGGGAACACAGGCCCAAGGGGCAGCTCCTGCAGCCCCTGGGGTGCTGAGGGAGCAGATTGCCAGCACAGCATTCCAGGAAGGTCTCTGAGACCCACTGACCTGCCACTGCAGCCAGCACAGAGCAATCCTGCTCATCCCTGCAGGACAAGGCTCTGTCTTTACTTCTCTTGCCTTAACGAGTTCCATATCTGCTGGACACACGGA